AGCGGGCTTTGGTGTACAACTTGTATCACTCTCAGATTGCTCACCCTAGGGTTTGTTAGCTTGCACTGATATTACTGACCTAGCTTGTACTCTGCCTTCACATTTATGTGATTCTTTACTATGTTTTTGCCACACAGGTGCTGGTTAGTGCCAACAATGACCTCTGGCTATAATCTTAGCCTGAGTAAAAGCAATGTGACTTGTGGGCTCCTCACAGACAGACAAGATTGCTGCACAAACAATACTTTTGGTCCAGTTGGATGAATGTCAGTTTAAGTCTATTAGTAGACTATCTTGGTAGGATGTGTACATGGCTCTGTAAAAATGGGCTTGTTTGAGTTCTGTTTAACAACAACAGACTACAATGTAGGTCTTTTTATCTAAGCTTATAACCAAAGTTATAGTGACATATTTAAACTGATCTATGAAAAATACGTGGGACAAAAAGTGAAAATGACACATATAGCTACTAGACTTATGACGTTTACTAGAAGAAGTGAAATGGTTCAGCTAATAAAGTATACCAAAAGGATAGGAGGTAAGTACTAATTCTTTTTATGGTTTAAGCACATTCCTTCCTTTGCTTCAGAGAAAAGGTGATACCAGTATTTTTCTGGAGCTGGGGTTTGCAGTATGGGTATCATATCACCTCTGATTTGTGACAACAGCTAACCCTGTGGCACTGGACAATGGTGTATATTTGTAAAGATATCAATGACAACATTGCAACGGGTTTGATGTGGTAGTTGATATGAATAATTGCTGGTGTTTTTCAAGTCCAATAGTACAACCACAAAACATCCACAAAGCCTTTAGGAATTAAGCTAGGCTCAAAGCCACCGGTTGGACTACTCTGCTATAAAGGCACAATGCCCAGTCATTTTTTTTTAAATCTCACACTTAGCAGAACATATTTGTATACCTCCTCTCAGTGTATTAATTATAGCCTGCCTCAAGCTCTTATTTAGACATAACATTTATTTTGACATTTTCCTTAACATGGCAGATATCTGGATTAAAGGAGCAGGTTTTATGTGCCTTGAGCCTCCAAAAACCATGCTATTGCCTGCCAAATCCTTTGGTAATCATTTAGCTTGGCTTACTAAGGAGAAATGTATGGTTTATGTCAATAGACTTTGTTTGACAAGTAATTAGGTGTATATAACTGTTAAGGCTTAGCACATACAAAACAGAATGCATTGCCCAGTTTCTTTTTCACTCAACAAAGAAAACAGAAAATAAAACTTACACTCATATTTTAATTCATTTAAGGTTCCACTTCATAGGAAAGTCCAGGGCTGCTCAGAAAGTTGGATCAAAATGTGTGATCTTGCTAAAAATAAGTGAAATAAAATACTCATTCTGCAAACAAAGAAAATTAAACTTGAAATTCTTGTTAGGTTGGCAGGAAATTTGGGCATGCTTTGGTTCATCATTTTGATTGGATTAAATTATGTTTGCGTTTGTGTTCCAAATGTACTAGTTGTGTCCAGAAACGAGATCGTGGTGTAGTGACTGGAGTCTTTGCCCGAGAAACAACAGATAAAAGAGTTTGCATACCATGGATAATGAATGGTGGCCAGCAACACAAATATGTTGTAGTCAATAATTTTTTCCCCCTTAAAATGTTCCAGTCATGAAATATAAAGCTTCTCAAATGCATACTCTGTGAAAGAAATACTTACCTTTTCTGCTGTCTTCACCGGCAAACTTTTTGAAGTCTGCAAAGAAACTGACACTTCCAGGGAGTGTTGATTTCCTGGGTCCCACACAACTCTCACTGTTTTCATCCTGCTGACCTACACGTAACTGCAGTCTACTGTAATGACCATTATTGCAAAAAAAAATATTGTATTCTGATAACTATATACAGTTAATTCATGCAATGAAAATATGTAGTATATATTTTTTCTTTCATATGCCTTTATGTTAAATGTTCTTTACCTTTACATGTGTAGCGCTAAGACACACCTCACTCAGCACTTACCGACACACTTCACTCACTCAGCACTTACCAACACACCTTCAGGTATTTAAAAAAATGTGTTAGGCCAAGTATTACATAAAAGGAGAAATGATTAGCAAGTGTACTTATACAAACAATAAGACCATAACATTACTCTGAGAGATATTGTTAAACACCTGCAGTATTCTAACAGTAATTAACAGAACTGAATTGCATTTACTTAGCAACAGCATATAAAAACAGTCCTAACTTGCTATAACAGTCCCAGTTTTATCCCACTGGCCAATGATTGTGTAGAAAAAAGAGTTGGCCGGGAAAGTTGGGAACTTGAAGAAGCACAACAGTTCCCTGGAGACAAAAGATTTTAGTCTCTTACCAGTCCCAAGGCACCCACTCCTGAGTCTCCAGACGTGTTCTAATTCAGTAAAAGTCAACTTAAAGTCAGGCAGGGATAGAAGTTGCTGACAATCTCTCTTTCAATCCTGCTTACAAGGTCCCTATTTTCCTTACTTACAAGTGGTGGTTGTGCTCTCTAGCACAGTCTGATCTCACCAGGCATCCAAATCACACCCTCCCAGGGAGACGGTTCTCGATCTCTTTGCTTCTCTGACTTCTCACCTGCTTGTGGTCTTCTATGCAAGGGATCCATTCATCCAGCAGCAGCAGGTCAATCTCTGATCAGCACTCTTCTCCTGGGCAGTACAGCATCAGATAGCTCCAGCAAAAACACTGGCCACACACCACTGTTTCCCTTTCACTACAGTCTTGTCATACTCTTCCAGCTGCAGACCTCTTGCTTTGTTGCATCAGCCAGTCAACTCCATGATCGAATCAGACCCAGCCAAAATGGCTGCCCTCTGCACTAGAGATAGTCCATGGAGGAGCATTGCAAAGCAGTTTGCTTATAGGTAGCTGCTGCACTTCTGAATTAATAGATATTCAATTTACCCTGTCCATACTGCAGAAGGGTAATACAGCAGCAACATAGGAAGAAGTCCGGCAGCAGTTAGTAGCTACAGACCAGACATGGAAACCAATCTGACCAGCAAAACCTGAAACAATTATAACACTTATGATAATGTTTAAATCAAAAGTAAAATTTTCTTTAAATTAGAAAAAGCTTATTTTTTTCTTTACTCCTGTTTTCCCTTTATTATATAGTAGAGATAACATAATTTTTGGAGGAAATACTACCAAAAGAAAGCATTGTTTGATGTCTCTGACCTGCAACAAGTGTGCGGTAAGGAGTTCTGAATTTGCGCTGACTTACCTGCTTGTAGGCTAGTGACTCAAAAAGTACTGAGACAATCAGGCAATGAGCATTTTCAAATGTAGGTCAACAATAGCAGGTTAGAAGTTTTTTTCAGTGCAGGATTTTTTTTCAAACACTGTACCCACAATATGGACTTTGCAGAGTATTCTGGTTTTGTACAGTAGTTTCTCTCTTTGTTTCACGCTTTTTAACTTAAAGTGGTTGTAAACCTCAGCTATGAAATATGAAAAAAACACATCCTTCTATACTGTGCACTTATCTCTCTCCAAAGCACTGAGTGTCATTTCTCTCTGCTGCCTGGTTCATCTGTTGTCAGCATGAGTCACCTCTTGTCAGGTTTCTGTGGTAGTGAGCCCTTGTAGAGCGCCAACTCACAGTTCCCCAGGATGTGTATTCTAAGCCCCAGCCTACTTTTTCACCAGGGCTCCTGATGGAGGGAATGGACTTGAACTAGAACTCGGTCTCCAGGTACGCGCAACTGACAATGCATGCGGATATCACTTGAATGTGCAGAGTACAAATAGAGGAGACAGAAGAGGATCCCAGAAATGAGCTGAGGTCAGGGTGGCTGGCAGTAAACTGGCCCTTTGTTTAGACAGTTTGGAGACTCCTGTCTTATGTACTGTGCATGCTGCATATCCCACAAACACCCATTCCAGTATATGACTACTCATCTAATTTACAAAATGTGTATATAATTATCATTCTGAAGGAAACCATTATATAAAAATACAGATGTTTCCCACGAGTGGGTACATGTTTGTTTTGCTTAATTTAATGTATAGTTTTGGATTTGAGCTGAGACCTTTACAGATATAAGTACAATTTCAAATTTGATAAAGCATTATAGCTTTATTACTGTGCCGGTCTAGAGCCACTATGCTTTAGTTTTTAGCAGAAATGACTTCTATGTTTACATACAGTATAAAGTAAATATAACTGAGCTCTTGACTATGGGCTCTCCTGGTACTTTAAGCAGATCTTGTAATAATATAATTGACTCAAACCCTATTTATTATGAAAAATTAAAAAATAAATATATTAACCAAGTGCTGCAGTAAGAATCTTTAACCTTTTCAATGCATTTCTCATTTTTAGCTACCAATTTTACTCATATTTCATCCCTGAGGTTAAATTACAACCACTAGGAGTAAATCATTCTATAGGTTTGGTGATCTATAAGAGTAAGTAAATGACATCATTGGTGACAGTAGGAGGAATAGTTCCCCATTTCTGGTGTCAATGGGAGGAACAGTACCCCAAAGGCCACATAAAGTCATGCAAAGGGCCACATCCAGCCCACGGGCTGCAGTTTAGAGGTCCCTGGCATAGAACATTGGGGTTAAAGTAATTCTAAATGTTCTCACTTTTTGTTTTGTTTTTTTTTTAATAACAAACGTGTCAACATGTCTGTGCAATGGTTTTGCAGCCTTAATTCTCCTCTTCTCAGGTCCCCTGCCGCTGCTCCTTTGCCAAGTGCCCCTATAGTAAACCACTTGCTAGGGGGCACTCATGCGTGCTCACTCCCAAGTCAGCTCTGTGCATGCATAAGACACACAAAGCATTGCTAGGCCCACCTCCAGCTCCCTCATCACTGGATGTGATTGACAGCGGCAGTAGTCAATGGCTCCTGCTGCTGTGTTTAAGCCAATGAGGAGAGAGCCTCTGCTCTCGTGCACATTGCTGAATCAAGATCGGGCTCAGGTAAGTATTTGGGGGCTGCTTGCAGAAGGTTTTTTTTACCTTAAAGTGTTGCTAAACCCAGGACCCTGCATTCACTATATCTGGTCTCCCACAATACACAGAACATGGAAATGCAATTATTTTAGTAAATAAAACTGCTAAATACCTTTTCTCATCAGCAGTTAGAGCCATCCAGCAGAGAACTGGTTAAATCTTGTTAAATCTTGTAGGTTAAATCTTGTAGGAGTTTTCATTTTGAAATATGAGGATGCAGAACCCCCGACCTCTGTCTGGACAGTGCTGATTGGCCCTGTGCTGATCACATGCACTCCCAAGAAAAAAAAGAAAAAACTCTCTAGCAATACACACTAAACTGAGCATGTGCATGTGGCTACAGGTACAGTCTGTCTTATCAGATGGACATTTGAACAAGAGTAGGTACAGAGAAGTCATGATCAAACAGCCTATTTACACAATGCAGAGGATTAACCCTTTAGGTTCCACAGTGAGTATAACAAGCATGCTTTACTGCATATACAGACTGATCTTAATGTTGTGGGTTTAGTAACACTTTAATGCAGAAAATGTATTAAGGTAACAAATCTTCTGCCTTTAAAACCACTTTAGGGCTTTTCACAGAGCAGAGGACACTGCAAGGAACATACCGATCACAGTGCACAGGATATAGTGTGGTATATACTTTACACAATAAAGGTGACACTACATATACTTCAGAACATCAGAATAAAGATAAATGCTTACCTGTTTTCCTGAAATCATGAAATTTGCCATGTTTCAGCATAAATTCACCATTTCACTTTTATTTTTGTCCAATAAAGTTAATTTTAATAATTTAATATATGCTTACATAGCATTTGTTTTAAACTTTTTTTGCATCTATATTCTACATTATACTGATCAGCTACCAAATTTAGATTGACTGATCCATTTCAACATTACCATTGATTCAGTAGTGATTTCTTTCCTATGTTTTACAGTATTGGCTGTGCTAACTGCCCACTGTTTGACAATTACAGACACCAACAGAAAAAAATTGATTTTATAGGCAGTATTGAGAAATACACACAGCTCTGACAATAGTTAACCTTTCACCCACCAGGAGTGTTTTGGAATTTTATATAAACAATGTCTTCAAGGATTTTTGGAAAAAAATATAGATGAATGTACTTTACGATTTGCAGTGATGAGTAAAGATATTTTGTGTTGACTGCCATTGTCACTGATTGCAAATGAAATCAACTGCAGTTTTGTTTCACAGGAACTAACTGTAATATAGCTATAATGTAATTTGTGATGCCCTACATCATAGAAAATACCTTACGGCAATCATTAAATATCATAAATGCAGGAATTGAAGTATGAGTTATTTGGTGAAAAATGATTCCAGGTAACACAAGATAAGGCATTTTTATTAGAACTGACCCCCAGGATCCTCAAGGAAAACAAGAAACAGATCAATGTCCCTGTCTGTTTATTCTCAGTATGATGTCATCTCTGCATTTATCCTTGATGAGAACAATGGATATGACCCTTAAAAGTAGATAATATAACAGGTCATATGCAATAGTTGTTGGAATGTTGATACCATCCCATGCCAAACCAAATTTCTTGAACATACACGAGAAGCAATTAATGTACCATGGAAGAACAGCGATAGAGATAAAATCTGGTGGCAGACACTAAACGTTTTGGGAAAGTTTGTATTAAATTTACACCTGAGTTTTCCACCATACCATTAATTGCTACATTCATTTCTTTTCTTTCCACAATACAGAGATCTCAATGGGTGGCACTGAATGATTTCATGCCAGCAGAGGAACACCATATTTAATATTACAAAACTATCAATAAATAGGTTAAAAAACATATCCAGCAAAGCTGGATTCTAGTAGATAAAAATAGACAAATGAATGCAGTACACTAGAAGCAATATTTAACATATGACATGGTTTTTAATTTCACCTTCAAAATAGAAACCAGCAAAGAATATTAGCAAAAAAAAAAAAAATCTGGTAAGGCAGAACCAGGAGATTAAAAAACGTTGAAACATAGGCTTTTTACTGAAAATCTAAAACTAGACCCAGATTTTTCTATCTCAGAAAGAATATATTGCATCAGTAAATTACCGTATTTGTAACTTGTACCTGCATATGCAAAATTCCATCCATATAAAGAAGTACCAATAATAAATCAGTCTTAAAGTGCTCATATTGGTTTGTATGACAACTACTTAGTGGTTTTCCTGGGGTTCTACTTTAGGTTGATCTCATAACATAACCCAACTAAAACCAAGAGAGCAAATTTAGTCACATTGGCACTATCTCAAAGGACCTTTATTCTATTCACAAAATATTACAATTGTTAGGTATTTTCAACATTGAGCCTTTCATAGCAACAAAATGGCCAAATAAGTTAATTTTATTAGGTCATACATTCTAGACCAGGGGTCCTCAAACTACGGCCCACGGGCCACATGCGGCCCGCTGAGGACATTTATCCGGCCCGCCGGCAGGGGTGTATTTTCCGCGAGGAAGGGACACTAAGTATAGGGGCGGGCAGGGGGCTGCTGTATCTTACCTGGCTCCGGTCCCAGTCCCACAACGATCCAGTCCAGGAAGTGCTGCTCCATCATTCACTCCGGCCACTCCCTCACTCAATGTTGGTGCTGCCGCTCGGCTCCGCCTCCTCACCGGGGATTGGGCGCCAGAACTGGAGCTCAGGAAAGGCACACAGGCGGCCAATCACCTGCGAGGAGGCGGAGCCGAGGGGCCCTGCGAACATCGAGTGAGGGGAGAGGCTGGAGTGAAGAAGGACAGCTGACAGGTAAGCGTGTCGTACAGATGGTGCTGCTGCAACCAGGCTGCAGCAGCACCATGCTGGAACAGGGGTCAGCAAGTTAAGTGTCATTGGTGTCAGTGGGAGGAATAGTGCTCCATCATTGGTGTCACTGACACCAATGATGGGGCACTATTCCTCCCCCCACTGACACCAACGATGGGGCACTATTCCTCCCCCCACTGACACCAATGATGGGGCACTATTCCTCCCACTGACACCAATGATGGGGCACTATTCCTCCCCCCACTGACACCAATGATGGGGCACTATTCCTCCCCCCACTGACACCAATGATGGGGCACTATTCCTCCCACTGACACCAATGATGGGGCACTATTTCGCTCCATAAGACACACTTGGGGGGAAATGTGCGTCTTATGGAGCGGCCGGCCCAGTATTCCCGCCGACGTTGTATGTCCGCAGTCTCTGGTCATCTCCTGTACTGTGTCCGCATTTTGTTCATAGTTTTTTTTTTTAAACTAGTCCGGCCCTCCAATGGTCTGAGGGACAGTGAACTGGCCCCCTGTTTAAAAAGTTTGAGGACCCCTGTTCTAGACTTTCAGGTAGGAGAAAAATGTATTCATAGCATTGTAGAAGCACACCAACCATTTCAAACATTGCAAAACATGTTGCTCATGTTTGAAGTCTGGTTTAGAAAGAACTGTTTTAGCTTTTAGAGCAAAACTTCTGTATTATTGAAGACACCATGTCTTTATTTACAGTCTGTTACCCCTTTGTAACTGTTTGTGTAATACAGGTATGTAACTTACACTATCAATAAGGCTAACAAAGTTGACCACCATGTAAAGGCCTTCAATAGATCTGGGCTGAAGGAATGAATGAAAAATGAATGTTTTTTTTAATATAATTTTAAAAAAATTAATTTTTCAAGATCATTTATAGTAAGTAATATATCTGTAAGTATAACTTTTAAGTATTTATTACCCCTTAGAGATCACGACACTGAAACAATGTCTTAATTTGCTTGTCTCTACAAGAACTGGGACATCTTTGTTCAGGCATCATCCAGGGTCTACTTTCTGGACTAAGATGCTGGCTCATAGATAACAAACGTATGTACTTGCCAGAGACTGTAAAATTATTGGTTGTGTTCAAAATTGTCTGCTAAAAATCAGCCACCTTTGTAACTCACTACGAAGTTATAATGTTGCTGTCTGATAACATGGAGAGGAGAAACACTTCCACTTACCTGTAGAAAATTGATGACATCTAGACAAAGTCGCTTGGCTAGAGCTCAAGGACTGCTCCATAATGATAAATGGCACAGTTATTGTAGCTATGCAAGTTTCTATATTTCTGAAAGCTCCATTTTTATTTGGTAACTATCGATAAGGTATTTCCCTCTGCCTGGTAATTCGTATCAGTATTCAGCAGAGGCAGCTGAGAACCTGCTGATCAAATTGGTAAATTAAATATACTTGTAAGACTATTGCAAAAGCACTGCAACCCCCTCGCTCTTCAAAAAAAAAAATAGCAAAAGGGATGGTTTCCAAAAGGTGTTGCCATCGTCAAAAATAACATCTCAGGTAAAGATTTAGTTTATCTTCTATTGTGGCAGCTACATTTAAACAGTCTTAAGATGTAAGGGACCATCTCTAATCCGGAGATTTTCAACCGGGGTGCTGCATAGAGTCCTCAGGGGTTCTATGGCAACAGCACTTTCTGAGTGCTATCCTGTGTTATTTCCGGGGCACTGCAAGGAGAAAGAGCGAGAGCACAACCCACACAGCTGTACTATTGCCAGCAAAGCAGAAAGATGTGCGAGCCACCTGCCCATGTCCTCCCACAGCTTTCTGTTTTGCCGGCAATCTGGATAGCTGCAGTCAGGAGGAGATAACTTTCTCTCTGTGCATGGGAATTAACACTGTTGCTTTTACTTCCCAATGTGCAGGGTTTGCTTACTGCCCCATCTCCTTCCAAGCTGCTCCTGAATAGGCAGCATAAAATTGTGGGTGGGGACAGGTAATGGATCTGAGAGCAATCCATATTAACTACAGCAGGGAGAGGAGTTGGGGGGGGGTGAAGAGTGAGAAGAAAGCACAGCCCACATTTGTGCTAGGAAGGGGCATGTGGGGGGTTGTGCCAAGACTGGGGACTTGAAGGGTGGGTGTTGCACTAGGATGAGGAATTTGGGGGTGTTTGTGCTAGGAGGGGGGATTTGGGTAGGGGGTTGGTACTAGAAGATCACTGAACTCTGCCTCACAGGCTACATTTTAGGGCTTGCTCACACCAATTGCAGTGAAGTAACGAGTGAAATCGCACATTTTCCTCTCTGTAACGTATAAAAATGCCATTTGCAGTCACACGTGGTTGCCATTATTTCTTAACATACATTTGTACGTTCATGCCTGTTAAAAAATACGTGTGCCAACACGCAAAAAAGTGCATGCTTGAACACACTTGCTGGTGTAAACATGCCCTCAGACTGGTGTGCCCTGGGATTGTGCACAGTTCTAAAGGGTGCCTTGACCGAAAAAAAAAAAAAAAGGTTGGAAAACACTGTTCTAATCATATGTCTACCGTAAATCAGTTTGCTCTCCAGTCACAAGTCAGTATGCAAGCAATGCCACTGTAGAAAGAAAGAAATATATTTGTAGGTATGCAGACTTAAAAAGGAAAATCAAACCAAAATGCTTTGTTTTTGATTAAGGAAGGTTACATAGTTGGTAAGGTTGAATAAAGACA